GTTTTTTTCTTAATACTAAACCCAAAAACCAAACTATATAATTTGTTCAGAAAATACAAGTAAGCCCAAGACTATATTCCATAAATAACCACTAGTTTAATTTAAGTATAATTAGTAGATTTCCATATTTTGATGATATATATTCTTCTAGAACATTCCATATTTGTAGGAGAAAATATGTGTTTTTGGTATACACATAGATATCTGCCGTATTTTGAAGGTAGTTTACATTAAGGTCGTGTCTTTACATTAATTGTGTTGGTTTAATTTAATTAATACGGTTTAATCAATTATATGATTTATTTTATTTGTAACATTCTAGAAAGAGTCCAAATTTAAATGACAACTTGTATCGGTAGATAGAGAAAATGACTCTATTTTAATAGAATAGATTTGAAAGCCCGATAACGAGCCCAAAACCAAAACAACATATCATTCACAATAACAATATGCTAAAATCAAAATGTTTACGAAGTCTTTGAATCATTATTAAAAGAGAAAGAAAGAATAAAGCAGATTTTACATTGCTTGGATTTTCATAATACGCACGCACCCAAGTCATTTTCCTCGACTGATCAACAAAATAACTGAATATTCCATATGATAATTATTTCCCAACTTTTTTTTCTTTCTTCGAGTAAAAAAAGTGCTCCTAAACTTAATTATAGACGATTTCCACAACTTATGAGAGACTGAATAGTTCAAAATCTAATACCATTTAATTTCCCAAATCTGACTTAAAAGACTATAATTATTGAAAGTGATGGGGCAGATGTAAAGGCAATGTTGGGTGTCACGCAATAACATAATTGTGATCTGCAAAGAGAATATCCACTCTGTATTCGGAGACAAGTAAAGAACGAATGAATGGTGGTCACATTATGGCATCCCTCAACTTCTCTTTTCTGCCGAATAACTGAAAAAAATATCTATAATTCGATCATGTATACAAGTCATTATCTAAAATAATATATTAAAAAGCCAAATTTAAAGGTACTAATTATTGTGCGTTGTTATATGATATGAGCCACTGCGTTTACTCAGTGCAAGCAATTCAAAGTAATTTCCGTTTCACTTGCAATTAACCAAAATATAAACCATGGTTGTATGGAGATTATATGTATTCATATCATGTATTTTTCAACAAATTTAAGCTATTTTTGATTGTCGTTTTAGCATAATTAACCGCCTCTGAATGATTTGAAATGGTATATATTGTTTTGTTTTTTTTGACTAAAACGAAATGGTATATATTGTTTCAACACAATTGAACTGTTAGAACAAAGACATGCTGTTAGAACAAAGCATGTCTGCAGTGCCGGTCTAATATTTGTAGACTAGGTGTTGATCCGCGCCTTGCGCGGGGTGAGATGACTTTGACTTTGATCGAACAATAATTTAGTATATTAATCTATTATAAATTTTATTTTTTTGTTTGTAGAATTCAATTAGGTGTGTTGTCCTGGTGGCCGAAAATTTCAAATAAAATATAATTTGATACATTTTATAATATAATATTTCTAAAAATACATTGTAAGCATATACACATTATATAATGGTCCATTTCAAATTATAATCTTCGTTAATAACACAATAGTACACCGATTTCAAATTGCAATATCATTTGATACATTATATAATATAATAAACCCCAATTTATATAATATAATAAAGACCGGTTTTAGTTACCCTTAAGAAATCAATCAATCTTCAAATAATATAAATGTCGTGATATGGTCTTGCTAAAATAAAAGAGTCTAGACATAATCAACATTTATTTATATACAACTCTATAATACCCGATAAATATGTTTAAAAAAAATCAATCAATATGCATTATGAATTGATATCGAAACGGAAACTGTCCAAGCAGATTAGGAAATTCATGGATACATGTTAACCATAATCATTTTTCTCTTATCATTTATGAAAATTGAAAAAAAAAAAATTCATGAATACATGTAAATATTGTTATTTGAAGCAATTTTGAAATTTGAAAAAAATTATACAAAGCCATGGTCCTTAATTTAAGTGACTTGTTATTTATTTCCAAATATTTCAAAAATTAGATGATCAATTACAAAAGAAAGAGTTTTGCCATATTCAAAAGCTTCTTAAATAAACTTTATCAAAATATATAGTAATATAACAAATCATCCTCGTCATCATAGCCTCTAATTGAAGACTATGTACCAAATCAAGTCTATGTGAAGAAATTTTAGTTGTATGCTAGAAATTTATAAATTTTATTTTTGGTTTGTAGTATTCAATTAGAGGTGTGCGGTTTTTTTTTTTTTTTTTTGACAACGAAAGGCTGATCTATTACTCAAGCTTGAGGTGGTCTGGGAATCCAGACCGGAATAGAACAACCAACATACATGAGATCACGATAAAAAGTTCGGGCAGTCTTAGCAAGATGATCGGACACAGCATTTAAAGATCGAGGTACATAAGTGATCTTGAAGTCAGAGAAACAAATCCTCAACGTTGAGATCCTCTCTAATTCCGTCGAAAAGCTTGGCCATCCATGGGGGTCCCTGAGAATTGCTAACAGATCCTTGCAGTCCGTCCCAAAGCTCTGACATGGCGAATGTTGAAGCATGTTCTCCATTGCCCACCGCAGTGCTTCCAGCTCAGAATGCAAAGCCGACTCCACCCTCCTAACATTCCGCATCCCCATCAGCTGATTATTTCCCATGCTATCCTTCCAATCCCAACCACAACCAGAGAACTGATCTATAGAGGTCCAAGAACCGTCTATCATACAAATATCTCGTAGACTTATGGCCTGATGATCAGTATCGCCGCTCCCTTGTGTAGCCACAACCGCTTGCTCATTAGCTTGGAACCAGGTAAGACACTCACTTTCGGCATACCTGGCTAGTTCCAAAGGGTCTCTATCTATCCCTCTGAACAACTTATCATTTCGCGCCTTCCAGATGTACCATATTAGCCAAGGATAAGGATCCCTGTCTAGTTCTGGCCCACCAATGGACTTTTTCCGACAGAATAGATAATCCATATTTGAATATGTGCTCTCCAAAGGGAACAAAGATGAACTGGTGGGTATAGACGCTAGGGCCCACACCTGTAATGTTGGTGGACATTGGAAAATTGCATGTGCAATTGTTTCATCCGGTTCTCCGCATCGTGGGCAAAAGTTATCGCATCTTATGTGCCTACGATTCAACGCACTCGTTACAGCCACCTGTCCCGACAAAATCTGCCACATAAGATGACACATCTTCGGGGGTGCTCTAATCTTCCAGACCTGCGCTTGGAGTCCTTTGATGCTAGGTTCCACTACCAGATTCTCATCCTCCTTCATTAGAATATTCCGAGCTACCCAATATCCAGATTTGACTGTGTACTGTCCACTCCTTGTGTAACTCCAGCAGTAAGTGTGTCTGCGGTGTGTCAAACTAATAGCCATACTCCTTATGAGAGGTATGTCAGTAACGTCAACATAGTTTGCCAGTCTCTCCAGATCCCACGTCTTTGTTCTTTGATTAATAAGATCACTCACTCTCATGTTCGGATGTAGGACTGGAGCAGATGCATGCGCTGACCTCGCTGGGATTGTGGGAATCCAAGGGTCCTCCCATACCTTTACCTCATAACCTGAATGTACTTTCTGTCTGACCCCCAATAGCAGTAATTCACGTGCTGCCGAGATGCTTGTCCACACATATGATGGGCTACTGACAGAAAGATTTCGCAAAGGCGAACCTTGTCGATAATACCGACCTCTCATAACCCGAGCTACCAAGGAATCTGGGTTTTGAGCCAATCTCCACAGCTGCTTTGCCAATAACGCCAGGTTAAACTCATGGATCATCCTGAAGCCAATTCCTCCTTCCTCTTTAAGTAAGCATAACTTATCCCATGTTGTCCAGTGTAAGCCTCTCTTTGGTGGGTTCGAACTCCAGCAAAATTGTGCAATGGCACTAGCCAAGGCATCACAAATCTTCAAAGGGAGCAAAAAACAAGACATAACATAGGTTGGATGTTTTAAACAACCGTTTAAGTCGATTGCCCTCTGGGCCGGTCTTGCATGTCTGGGTTCCAAGAAGTCTTGGTTGGGTTTGATACCAGCTGGTAACACTATCTAATTCATTAATATGTAAAAGCAAAATTTAACCCGACTATAAATTTTTAAATACTTTTGTTTTGTTCAAATATATCACATAAAGAAACATCAATCAAAACATAGGAAGTATATGGTAATATAGAATTTTAGAACAAATTCTAAATAACATTTTTAGATTAAAAAAAAACATATTTTAGATACATATGTATGTTAAATGATTTTTCCTCAACTTTGCAAATACTTTGATGGTTATAGTTTTCTTTGATTTCTATATTGATATTTTTCTTCCCTTTGATAAATTTATATACATTCTCAACTTATTACACACATATACCATTTGTGACTAAAATTTGTTTATATATCTTTGTGCATATCTTCTTATTAATGTTTTTTAGTTTCCTATTTCTCATTCAAATTTTCTACTTTCCTAGAACCTTTTGTACAGTAAGAATACATAAAGTATTAAATATTATCAAAATAAATCTGCAAGAAAATAATAACTATATTTTGTAAACTATAATTACTTGAATCTGACAGCACCAAGAACAACAATTAGTTAAAAGTAAGCAGAAAATATTTATTATGTTTAGATAGTTTTTCACAAAAAATAGATTTTAGATGTTTATAAGCTTATATTATTTAGTAATGAAATTTTTTTTTTTTAAAGAATTGAATTTGTTGAGTTATGACTTTTATTAGAAATTAATAATAACAAAAAATTAATAGATTTTGGTAGAAATTTAATGTACCTTTTTTTCAAAAAAAGGCTTTCAAATTTAATGTACTTGTATTTTGTTTTTTTTTTTTTAATCTATTTGTGAAAGGGGGAGAGAATATAAATGTGAAGCACAACATTTCCTTGTCTACGATCAAAAGCTCAGATTGAGAGAGAAGTAGAGAAGTCTTTCACAAAAAAAAAAAAAAAAAAAAGAAGATGTCGTGGCAATCGTACGTTGATGACCACCTTATGTGCGATGTGGAAGGCAACCACCTCACCGCCGCCGCTATTCTCGGTCAAGACGGCAGTGTCTGGGCTCAGAGCGCCAACTTCCCTCAGGTTCCCTTCTTTTCTCCGATCTTTCGTTGGAAGTATGCGAATCGGATCAGATCTGAGTAAACTCGGATCTGATTTTGATAAATCGATCTGTTTTTTGGACTCTTTAGATCTTTAGTCTTTGTTTTGAGATTGCATTCATGTGTGTTCTTGAACTCATAGTAGGCAGGTTAGATTGTACCGTCTTAGCAATTGTTTATCTGATAATCCAAAAGTGTTTCGAATCTAAAGCTTGTTGTATTCTTGCAGTTGAAGCCTGAAGAAATCCATGGAATCACTGAGGATTTCAAGGAGGCAGGGTTTCTTGCCCCAACCGGTCTATTTCTTGGTGGAGCCAAGTACATGGTTATTCAAGGTGAACCAGGAGCTGTGATCCGTGGCAAGAAGGTAAACATTCTTGTCTATTAACCCTTTTTGCTTGTTTATGATAGAGAGTGGGATCATATTTCATTTTACAATCTATGCAGGGACCTGGAGGCGTTACTATCAAGAAGACGAATCAAGCCTGGGTCATTGGCATCTACGAGGAGCCCATGACTGGAGGTCAATGCAACTTGGTTGTTGAAAGGCTTGGGGATTACCTCATGGAGTCTGATCTCTAAGTTTTCTGTTTCTTTAACTAAAAAATGTACTTTTTCATTGTGATTGAATCGTAATGCTATCAAACGCAAATCAAAATTTGAAAGCTTTGGAACCAATATCTTGTTGTTGGTCTTTGTTACCGGGTTTGTGTCTTTGTAATGCCATTTTGATCATCTTTTTATCCTTTCATATGTATTGTGTTTTTTCTTTGGATTTTTTATTTCTCAATAGTTTTGTTTTTCTTAAGTTGATCTGCGGTTGGTTTTACGTTCTGGGGTTCGAAACATATTTGTGTACAATGGAGAAATTGTTGAGAAACTTGGGACTTTTTAGACAGGATAAGAGTCCTTCGACCCTATTTGTTTCAGTAACAACGTAGGGATAGCCAGAGACGAATGCTAGATCCTCAGCCCCACTAGTGCCCCTTAAGTACTAGATACACATTTGAAGGAAGAAACACAAAAGTTTTCGCGGTCCACTTTTGCTTCTTGTCATCTCCAATAACCCCCGAAGTAACACAATTTTCATTAGGCATGATCATCCTCGATCTGCCCTCTAACTTACCATGGTGGTTTATCAGATTTTTCTAATCCTCTTTGGTGTTTCATTGACACATACTTCTTCAGATCCAGCATCAAAACTCACAGTTCTCCTGCCTCTCTTTATACTGAGAACTATATAATAAACAATTTCATTGATGCATACTCCCTTGCTCAATGTTCATGGCCGTTCTGAAAGCAGCCGGATAAACACATTTACATTGGTCTTTTATTTTTTCTTTAAAAGCTATGATACATGTGTTGCATGACCTCCAAACTATCGAATACGTTTTATTAAAATTAATTTAAAAACATTAAACTTTTTAAATCTCAGATCCAGATTTACCGTTGTTACTAAGAAATAATGTACAATAACCGGACGGAATGTTGTGCTTTCACCATAAGAAGAGTGGTCAGACGAGACCAACTACATCACTAGTGAGAACAAACGCACTTCACAAGTATACGATATACCTCATATCAAAATATTTTTAACAATATATGATATATCTATCTGTTTTGATTAAAAAAACTGTTTTAAATTAATCTTTTTAAAATATTGGTCTTCGTCTTTATTTCTTAAGAAGGAACATGAACTACATGAAAAGCACATTCTCCGTCTGATTTGCTTAATGACACCAGGTTTTACTCTCTTCGAATGATTAACTTTAGTGTAGTATGCAGATATCATGAATTGTGAATTGAATTACGAGCTAGTTAACTATCACATGAGTTGTCGTAAAGCGTCTTGAATCATGTCCTGAAGTGTCTTGAATCGTGTTCCATTAACCTTACATCTTGAATCAACTCGGTATGTGCATTGTATCATGTCCGGCGGACTGTCTCCCGCAAAGGCCTATGTAATATGCGGGGCAGGTCAGGTCATAGCTTCGACTAGAGAGAATTACTCTAGGGATCTCTCTCCTCTCTTTACAAGTTTGGTCAAATCTCTTGATACCTTCTCGTAACAACTCTCTCTCCTATAGATAAAAGATGAAAAGAAAAGGTATATACATCATGTGTGCCGTAAACTCCAGCAGCCTAACGTCATTTATTTCTTATTCCTCATAAAACATCCAATCAGGACTCCCCAAGTGACACGTCACCCTTCTCAGCTGATTTCTTCTCACCCTTACCTTTCTTTCTCCTTACGTACGTGTACAATAGAGGATGGTGTACGGACTCATTGCTAACATTACTCCTCTCTGTAAAATTGACCTTCTCCTAAAAGTCAAACTCAGGAAACTGACCTTGCATAACCTTCTTCCACTCTCACGAGTTTGCATAGGCCGGTAATCCCTTCCACTGAATCAATATACCTCATATTAAAATATTTTTAACAATATATAATATATATATCTGTTTTGATTTTAAAAACTATTTTAAATTAATCTTTTTAAAATATTGGTCTTCGTCTTTATTTCCCAAGGAAGAACACAAACTACATGAAAAGCACATTTGCTTAATGACTCCAGGTGTTACTCTGATTAAAAGTAGCATAGTATGCAGATATCATGAATTGTGAATTGAATTGTGAGCTAGTTAACTATCACATGAGTTGTGCATTGTCGTCGTAAAGCGTCTTGAATCATGTCCTGAAGTGTCTTGAATCGTGTTCCATTAACCTTACATCTTGAATCAACTCGGTATGTGCACTGTATCATGTCCGGCGGACTGTCTCCCGCAAAGGCCTATGTAATATGCGGGGCAGGTCTGGTCGTAGCTTCGACTACAGAGAAATACTCTAGGGATCCCTCTCCTCTCTTTACAAGTTTGATTAAATCTCTTGATACCTTCTCGTAACAACTCTCTCTCCTATAGATAAAATATGAAAAGCAAAGGTATATACATCATGTGTGCCGTTAACTCCAGCAGCCTAACATCGTTTATTCCTTATTCCTCATAAAACATCCAATCATGACTCCCCAAGTGACATGTCACCCTTCTTAGCTGATTTCTTCTGACTCTTACCTTTCTTTCTCCTTACTTACAATAGAGGATGGCATACAGCCTCATTGCTAACATTATTCCCACTGTAAAATTGACTTTGTCCTCAAAGTCAAACTCAGGAAACTGACCTTGCATAACCTTCTTCCACTCCCATGAGTTCGCATAGGCCGGTAATCCCTTCCACTGAATCCGTACTTCTTCTTGTCCTGACGTCGGGCTTACTCGTGAACCCAACACTGCTTCTGGATGTACCTCCATTACCCCTTCTGTCGTAAATTGAGGTGATAACGGTGCTACCAGTTGTTCTTCTCCCACGGCTTTCTTCAGCTCAGATACATGAAAGGTATTATGAATCTTGGACTCCTCTGGTAACTTGAGGCAATAAGACACTTTCCAAACTTGAGCAATTATCTCAAATGGCCCATAGAAACGCGATGAGAGTTTTTTTCAAAGATTAGCTGCTTCCTATGTTCGTTAGCTTGCTTCTTCATTACCTGCTAAGATTTATGAATATGCTCCCTCAACAATGTCAGCATCTCGTGTCTTTCAATCAGCCTATTCTTCAAGTCAACATTAGCAGATGACCCGTGTTCATACTTGATGAAAACAGGAGGATCGCAGCTATATATTACTTTAAATTGAGTCATTTTGATGGCAGCATAATAAAAGAAGAATTGTATAACAGCTCTGTCCAAAGTAAGTAACGAGCTCACGTCTTTGGCTTGTATATCGCCAATTTGTGATTCAAGTCGAGGAAGCAATATCTGGTATATCGACAACTGAGTTAGACAAAAGGAAAGATCAACACTTTATCAAGTGGTTGAGGAAACATGTATTTATTTATTACTTAAATTATATGCATACATTACCACAAAGTAAGTCTAATGTCTTTTCGTTGCATGTTGATTATGTCGATCCTGACTATCCCGCATGGTTTCGAGAATTACTTCAAGGTCCAGTTGCAAAGGTCACTACATCATCGATGTATTTCACCCGAGGCTATACTTTTCATACCTATGACTATGGTAGACACCAGGCGACAAGTAATTATGGAATATGTGTGAAAGGAGAAATAAATTTCTACGGGATCTTGCATGAGATTTATAAAGTTCAATTCTCAGGTATGAGTTTGAAATGCGTTATCTTCAAGTGTGAGTGGTACGACCCCGTCGTCAACAGAGGTGTTCGGATTAACAAGAACGGTGTAGTTGATGTCAACGGTGGACGAAGGTACAACAAATTCTTTTTTTTAATATCTAGGTTTCCAGTATTAATTAATTTTTACATTGATCTTTATTTTCGTGGGTACAACAAGTTCGAGCCTTTCATATTAGCTTCCCAAGCAGATCAAGTTTGCTTCATTCCATACCCTTGGATTACTACCTCGGGAATAAACTGGTTAGCTGTTATCAAAGTTACACCTTGAGGACGAATAATCGCTGGAGAAGAACCCCCATTACAAGAAGAAAACGCCAATGAGATCGAGGAAGCTGAAGCAGAAATTGATGAGTTCCTACTCATTGATCCGCATAATCGTGAATACGAAGATGTTCCTGATCACTCAACGGACGAAGGTATAGACGACGAGTTTTAGAAAATGATGATGTTTCGACAGATTACGACAATGTATCCGAATGAATTATGTATGTTTATAAGTTTGTTTAATCACAAAAATGAATTTGGATTATATATGTTTTAAGTTTGTTTAATCACAAAATCTATTTGCATTTGGGGTTTGGGGTTTATGTGTAGAAGAGATTAGGAGTTTGGTTGTAGAAGAGGTTATAAGTTAAGGAAGTTGTGGTTTGGGGTTTGGGGTTTCGAGTTTAGGGATTTATAAACCCTTTCCTCGTAAAGCCCTAGTAATAGAAAATGCGGGCATAGCCGTTTCCTCGTAAAGTTCTAGTAACGGTATTACTAGGACTTTACGAGGAAAAAAACACGGGCATAGCTATTTCCTCGTAAAGCATTTTCGTCATAAGGCCCTAGTAATTGTATTATTAGGACCTTACGAGGAAATAAAAAACACGGGCATAGATATTTTCTCGTAAAGGCCTAGTAATGTTACTAGGGCTTTACGAGGAAACAAAATTCCTTATATAAACTCGAGCAATCCGATTTTTCATTTGTAGTAAACTTCTCTCTGAATTCTCTTAAGGTTCTCTCTATTTCCTAGTTAGGTTATTAGATTAGGGAATTTAGATTAGGTGGTTAGTTTAGGAAATTTAGATTAGGTGGTTAGTTTAGGTAATTTAGATTAGGTTGGTTTACTTTTTCAACTGTTTTTTTTAAATTATACGGGAATTAATGTTTTGATTTTTTTTTGAAAAAATATAGATGCCTAGACAAAGCAAAATTGTTAGGGCTGCTAGTAAGAAGTCTCTCCAGGGGAGTCACTACGGAGATCTTTTCAGGCGTCAGTCTGGTCCCGGTTCATCTTCGTCAGCTCCCGGTTCATCTTCGATTCCGGATTGTGACGCTGTTCCCGAGACTCAGGGAGCTTCTACGGCGTCCCAGTTTGAGCAACCACCTCCTCCTCCACCACCTCCTCCTCCTCCTCCACCGGTCGGGGTTCATCCCAATTTGCAGGTGCCGCCGAACGCAGCCTTTTACGGTGTACACGATAGAGGATATTTTGGCCCTTCCAGGCAGAGAAGGGCAGCCAGAGTTAGATCATATCCGACAAGACGACCAAAACGTATTATGGTATGTTTTAATTTTAAAAAAGTTTTTTTTTTAAATTTATTTCTTAATTAACCAAATATTTACAAATTAATCTAATTAATGATTTATTTTGTGTCTTTCTAGGT